AATAATGAGCAGGTGGACTTCAGAAAAACCTTCAGAAAGACTTGTCTGGACTGATGCTGAGTGAAGTGAGCAGGACCAGGAGAACATCGTACACAGTAACTGCCACATTGTACGATGACTAACATTGATAGACTTAGCCCTTCCCAACAATGCAAGGATCTAAGACATTTCCAAAAGCCTCATGATGGAAAATGCTATCCACATCCAGAGAAAGAACTATGAAGTTTGAATGCAGATCAAGCATACTATTTGCTCTTTTTTCCTTCTGTTTTGTTTAGTTTCCTCTTTCTGGTGGTTCTTTCTATTGGTTCTAATTCTTCCTTACAACATGACTAATGTGAAAATATGTTTAATAGGAATGTATATGTATAGCCTATTTCAGATTGTGCGCAGTGTTGGGGAAAGAGGTGGGGGGGGGATTTAAAACTCAAAAGCTTATGGAAAAATTGTTGATGAATCAAAATAAATTAATTAATAAAATAAACTAAACTCCAGTGGTTCCCTATCACCTCCAGGATCAAAATAAAATCCTGTTTCACGTTCAAAGTCCTTCATAGCATGTTCCCCTACTTTTCCAGTCTTGTTACACCTTACACCACAAACCACACACACAGTCAATGTACTCTGTAATCCAGTGACACTGGCCTCCTTGTTATTCATTGAACAAGACACTCCATTTCCTGACTTGGGTATTTTCATAGGTTGTCCCCCCTATGTGGAATGCTATTCCTTCTCCTTCTCCTCTCTACCTCCCTTCAAGTCTCAGCTAATACCCCACCTTTTACAGGAAGCCTTTCCCAATCCCTTAATTTCTAGTGCCTTCCTTCTGTTGATTATTTCCAATTTTATCCCATATATAGCTTGTTTGTACATAGTTGTTTGAATATTATCTCCCTGTCATTTGCCTATCTTTGTAATCTCAGTGCTTAGGACAAGTCTGACAAATAGTAGGTGCTTAATAAATACTAACAACAAAAATGATAATGATAGCTCACATTTACATAAGGATTTAAAGTTTTGCAAAGTGCTTTACATTTAATCCTTATAACCTTGTGAAACAGGTCCTATAGATTTTGTAATCTCCACTTTACAGTGATGAGATTAAAAAAAAACAAAGAACTGAGGCTCAGAAAAGTTACATGATTTTCACAAGTTCACGCAGCTAATTAGGATCAGACGTAGGATTTCAACCCAGGTCTCTCCTGACTGCAAATCCATCGCTCTTTCCATTATACCACAGATGTGCCTTCTTCACATATTCAGAGGCTCCCAGAGCTTACCAAAATAAAACAAAAACTCCTTAGCCTGATATTCTAGGCAAATTCCAAGCTAATCAAATTCTACAAATTGATTCCAACCTATTTTTCCAGCTTTATTATGTTCTTACTCCCTATTGAGCCAAAGTAGACTACTCCATTCCCCAATCTTATTCTCTGCTGTTGAAATACTTTCCCTCCTTCAAAGTCTAGTTCAAATATTTACCAAAATATAAATTGCCCAGATTAACAGAAGTGTAGATAGAATACCTAAATAACCGTATCTTAGAAAAATAAACTGAACAAATCATAGATGAGCTCCCCAAGAAAAAAATCCTAGGACCAAATGGATTTACAACCAAATTCTACCAAATATTTGAAAAATAATTAATTCCAATACTATATAAACTGTTTGAAAAAAAAAA